TTATATGACCATTTTTCTGATGGCTGTAGTTCCTCCTGAATATTTAGGCGGTCCTGCATTGTTTGTACTCCTTTTCTTCCTTGCTTTTTCATGCTGCTCATGTTACTTCTTGTTCTGTTTGACTGCTGAGTTACTGTTTACTCCTATAAATTTATTTGATGCTTGGGAGAAAAGGTATTAGAAGGGAAGGGAAGAAGTCACTGAAGAGAATGAGAATAAGCAGATAGAATTCAAGGAAGGGGGAATAAGAGAATTGAAAAGAAATGAAAAGAGAAATAATAATAAAAAAATGAAAATTAAAATTAAAAAAATAATAAAATAAAATAATTAAAAAATATATTTACAAAACAACAACAACAAAAAAATGAAAATGAAAAAAATCCCCAAATTTAAAAAAATTAATAAATGCAGTCTTAGAGTTTGATTAACTTCTCTTCCAGGAGGTGGAACTGTGCCTACTGGGCCAAGCTTCTCTCAATAGGCAGGAACCAATCACTGTGCAGCAGCTCTTCCTCCCAGGCTGGGTGGGTCTCCAATCCTGGGTGCCTAGGGCCTTCTTTTGTGTCTAGACACTTCCCCTCTCTTCCTCAAGCCAGGCCCCGCTCACTGGTGACGCTCACCACAATACTGGCTACACGCCAGGTCTGCTGCTCCCGGGAGCCCTGTTTTCATGAACGCCTGGGCACACTCTCCCTGTTTGCCATTCCCTCGGACCCTAAGTTTGTAGAGCTTGGGGCTGAGAACCCCCAGTGAATTTGTTTGCTCTCCGGTAGCCACGCCTCCGGTAGCTGGTGCAAGGGACCTCAGTTGTCAGCACTGGTGGGAGCGGTAGCCGAGAGTTCCGCGCCGCGAGTCCTGTGCCACTAGTCCCGTGCCACGAGTCCCGAGCCACTCCTGATTCCCTTGGTCTGGTTATCTCGCTCACAGAAGAGCTGGGAGGGGCCCTTAATGTTTCCCCGCTGTGTGGAGAGGGAAGGCTAGGGGATTACACACCTGTTTCCGCTGGTTTCAATGAATTTATCTTCTCCACCGCGTTTTGGTGAAGTCAGTTCTCTGTCATGGTGTATCCCATGCAAATGGTGACAGTTCGTTCCCTTTGCCGGGTGACCAATGCAACGAACCGGTGGGTCCTGACTGTCTCTCCCAAGCCCCGTTTCAATCCTGTGGCCACTGCCTATGAAGGCTCGGTTGGCATTTACTTCTGTAGGATCAGAAGGGCCGACCAGTTGTTTCGGCGGGATCGTTAGTGCTGAGTCATAGCGGTTTGACTGAGAGAAGCAGGCAAAGGAGAGCTTGAATGCAGCCAATCCCGGCTCAGTGTGTGTTCTGAGAGGTCCGGACTGTTCGCCCCAGATCCATGTCAGCTCTGCATTGCCTAGTGATCTTGAGCAAACAGCATTTAGACAGTTTACGACTCCCTATGCCAGCGCAGCTGAAGAGGTCAGAGATTTGATCTCTCTGCGCCCGCCGCCATGTTGGATCTCTCCAGAAGTCTGGATTTTAAGCATGTTCATCTCTTTTGCTGTCTTTACCATTTGAAGTTTGTGTGCACCAGATCTTTCCTGTTAAGTGTTAAGGGGGATGTGTTTCAGGCTGTTGAGAAACATGGAGGTTAGACAGATGGTAAAATATTGTGAAAGTCAAACTGAAAGAGGTAGGGAAACTGCCATTGCATTTACCATTGTCTTCTCACAGAAGGTTCACCTTCAATTGGGACTGAAATATACCAATCATTTTTGTTTACCAATTCACATTTTTTTCAAAGAACTTTGTTTTAAATTTGATCTTCACAAAACTTCTCGAGTTAAGTGAATCAGGCATCATAATTCACTTTACCTGTTCTTCATTCTGCAAACACTAAGTTAGGAACCAGGTACCTGGAGTAAAGAACAAAGGACTATACCTTTAACCTGTGAGCATACCTATAGGGGGAAGAAAGACAGGTAATTAAGGGGTTGATTATGATACAGCTTGGAAAGGGCTGTGACAGTGGCATGGATGAGACCTTGGGTAATACAGCATCTCATCTATTTCAGGGGAGGTTTGGGGCTATTTACGGGAGAGACACTAAAGTAGAATGAAGGAGAGTAGGATTTAGAGAGAAAAAGAGCATTTAGACTGAGAAAATGGACTGTGCAATGATTCAGAAGTTTGATGGAGCCTGGCAAGTTTGAGACAAGTGACGATCAGTATGCTTGGAGTCAAACAGAGTGTTTTTTGTTTGTTTAAAGAAATAGCAAGAAATTGGGCAGGTGGTACATGCCTGTAATCCCAGAGAATCTGGGAGACTAAGGCAGGAGGATTGAAAGTTCAAGTCCCATCTGGGCAACATAGTGAGACCTTGTCCCAAAGTAAAAACTAAAAAGTGTTAGGGATATAATGGTAGAGCACCCTGTGTTCAATTCCCAGTACCAGAACAAGAAAGGGGAAAAAATAACAAGAAATGAGTGCCATTGTCTGTTATATTGAGGTATTTGGGCCTTTGAAGTGAAGGCACTGGAGAAACACAGAAAGGTACTGGGAAGAAAAATAAATATATCGAGTTGATCAGTGGTAGTAGGATTGGAGGTATTCAGGAGGTGGGATCAATCCTTGGTATCACTTGGCTCTGAAGGAGAGACAAGAACCTTGAGTGACTGGTGACTTGGGAAACAAGGTAAATGGTAGTGCTGTTCATTGAGTTGAGAAACAGGGAAGAGGGTTCAAAGTGGCAGGAAGCAATGAGTTCAGTTTACTGTGCAGCTGGAGTTCAGAGGGAGTACCACATGGCCTTTAGGAGCCATTTGTGTGACATTGCTCAGATATGGTGAGAAGAGGGAGGAGAGATCTGTGCTGAGGCTGGCACCCTGAAGGTGCCTGTGGATTAAGGAAGGCCTAAACAGGATGAGTAACACAGGGAGGGGAGACTGAGATGCCAGAAGGAGAGTTCATTTTGAAAAAGAAGGTATCTCAAACTTGGGTGTGGAATCAATTGGTAGAGACAGTCATTGGCTTTGATACTGGTCTGTGGAGGTTTGGTGTTTATCTGAGATCCCACATGAAGTTAGCAATAGCCATCATTGGACCTAGTATGTGATGGTTTTGGTTTCCATTGGTTTCAAAAAGTCATAAAAATGTTAAAGTTTCATTTTGATGAATTATCTGTAATAGGGGATAAAAATAACATTCAGACTGCCTCATATGTAGGACTTGTGGTACTAACATTCTTAAAGGTCCTTATTTCACATTAGACAAATTGCAAAAGAAATACAATTTATAAGTATATTAAATTTGTTTTTCAGTGCTGGGGATTGAACCCAAGGGGCCTTGCGCATGTTAAGCAAGTGCTGTACCACTGAGTTACATCCCCAATCCCCTACATATATTTAAATTAAAACTTATTTGGAAAATAATGTTATGTTGCCTTAAAGTAAGATCGTCCAAAAAATGAGATTTATCATTATCTGCCTCTTCCTTAATTACAATCAATTCTGATTTTCCTTTAATTAATATTTAGATCTACCAAGACCAAGATTCCAGTTCCAAGAACAGAGCACAAAGTCAGACTCTGCAGAAAATTATCTGCTGTGGAAAGTGCTGCAGGATGACCCTGCAGCTCGCCGTACTGCAGTTCGCCCTGTGCCAAGCCCTGCAGCTTGCCGACTAGAGTTTCTCACCGCTAAGCTTCAGAAAATTGATGAACAGCTGTTAGCAATTCAGAACATTGCCGACAACATAGAGCAGGATTTCCCCAGACCTGAAATGCTAAGTTTACTTCATGAAAAGGTAGTTTACCCTTAGTTTTTTTTAATTATTGTTATTTTTATCAGTAACTGAGTTATTAAATTTGTAATTTTAAAACAGTGGACTTTTTGAAATAATGGGAAATTTGGTTTCTTTAAGCTAGATTTTCTGAATTTCAGAATTACTGATATTTGGGTCAATTTGGGGACTTGGGGAAGGGAGGTGTTTGTTTTTTCAGAGACGGATATCAAATCTAGAACGTTTGTTAGGCTTGGCAAGTCCTCATGGCTGAGCTATAGGGTATTTGGCAGCATCCCTGGTCTTTACTCACTTGCTGCCAGTAGCACTTTCCCCAGTTATAACAATCAAAATTGCTTTCGAACCGAGTGGCACACACATATAATCCCAGCAGCTCTGAGTTCAAAGCCAGCCTTTCCATAGTGGCTGTGCTGATTTACATTCTCACAGTGTGCAGTTGTTATCCCTTGTCTTTTTGATAATAGCATTCTTTTTTAAAAAATGTTTTTTGTAGTTGTAAATGGACAGAATGCCTTTATTTTATTTGTTCATTTTTATGTGGTGCTAAAGATTGAACCCAGTGTCTCACGCATGCTAGGCAAGTGCTCTTCCGTTGAGCCCCAGCCCCAGCTCAATAATAGCCAAATAGGACCACCATTAAGTAATGATATTAATGATGTTTGTTTTTTAATTTTTTGACATAAACTTAGAACTGTCACATTCCAACCAAGGTTGAATATCAAAGCAGTCCTAGGAGCCCCTTACTTCAAACGATCTCTTTTTAAAAATTTTTGTTCTAACTAGTCATACATGACAGTAGAATGAATTTTGACACATCATACTTAAATGGAGTATAACTTCTCATTCTTCTGGTTGTACATGATGTAGAATCACATTGGTCATGTAATCATATATGTATGCAGGATAATAATGTCCGTTTCATTCCACTGTCCTTCCTGCCCCCATTCCCCCTCCCTTCACTCCCCTCTGCCTAATCCAGTGGACTTCTCCGTTTTCCCTAGCCACACTGAATTAACATCCACGTATAGAGAAAACATTTGGCCTTTGTTTTTCTGGGATTGGCTTATTTCATTTAGCATGATAAACTCTAGCTCTATCTATTTAGCAGCAAATGCCATAATTTCATTCTTCTTTAAGGCTAAGTAATATTCCATTGTGTATATATACCACATTTTCTTTATTCATTCATCTGTTGGAAGGTATCTAGGTTGAGAACTTCTTTTTTTGAAATTGCCTTCTGAGCTAGTAGAAAAGCATATCTGAAGCCAAATACTTTCCTTCCTCCTTAGTTTTGATACTGCATTGCTCACCTCTTGCAGAAGTCCACGATTCACTCCTTTCTTCAACACACATTTATTGAGCATCTACTACACATGAGACCTTGAGCTAAGTACCTGCTCTCTAGTAGCTTAGAGGCTAAATGAAGGTAGAAGTATACAGTAGTAAGTACATATGAACTGAGACGTACTATGCCTGGGTTGTTGTGGCTAGTCAGAGTAAGGGAAGATGTGGCCTCAAAGAGACCTGATTGAGGTGATTCTTGGAGCTGGTAATGAATTGATAAATTGGATAAGGAAAGGTTGACAATCACTGTGAGCAAGAGCAGAAAGGTGTCAAATAGCATGGAATGTTTGGGGAACTGTATAAGCATTACTTGGTGGTAGAGGCCAGTGGGATTGGGCTTTGGATATCTGGCATCAGAGAAAGGATGGGGCAAATAAGAAAGGAAAGGGTTATTTGTCGTGCCAGGTGACTGAGAGTTTATCCTATCAGCAAGCAAAATGTTTAACATTGTTTTAAGCATTAGGGTGATATGATCCGATACATTAGTATGGAGGATACATTGGAAAGGAGAAGACTGGAAACAGGGAGACCAAGTGGGTCAGTGATTTCAGACCTGGTCACTTATCTTGGAAACTTGTTTGAAATGCAAATATCTTGGTACCATTTCCTTGAGATTCTGATTCTAAATAGTTCTGAGGTAGAGACAATATTAACAAACTTCATAGATGATTCTTATGCTCTAGTTCTATATGAGGTCCACTGATGGGTGTTTGGGATCCATTGAATACCCAAAGCAAAAATTAATGTTCAAAAATGCCTCAACTATAGCAGTGGGAATAGAGGGCAGGATAGAACAGGACTGAAGAGCCTGACAGACTGTGGGAAGTCAGAGAAGACCAGCGAAGACCAGAAGTGCCAGAAGACCACAGTGGTACCCACATTACAGCCCAGGAGAATGGAGGAGGCATTTTCTAAACTAAGGAAGGGGAAGTACAGGAGCCCGTGCTGGGGGAGGAGGTGCCATGATTTCTCTTGGGGAGATATTGAATTTGAGGTGCCATGAGATTAGTTAGCTGGACATATGCTTTTGAAGCTGAGGGTCTAAATAGGGGTTTTGGAATCATCGGGGCAACATTCCAATCATGATGGAAAGAGCACATGGAGTGAGTAAAATGTGAAGCAGAGTCCTGGGGGCTCATTGCCTTGTCAGAGTGAGGCTTTGACAGCAGGCTGTTCCACACCTAGTGAAAGCTTCAGGAAACAGCCAGCCAAAGGGGCCTGTCGGGGCAGAGCTGCCACAGGGCTGGTTGTGGTAGGCTGCTGAACAGCTGAGTGTCAGGATCACCCTGACCGTCTTTTCAGAACGTACTTGCTGGCTCTCCTGACTTTGAGGGAGGCAGAGAGTTTCGAGAAATTTGGATACAGCTTCCTCCAATCCAAGCATTTCAGGGTTGGAAGGTGAAAACTGATTTTTGCTGTCTGTCGCATTTGATAAATGTGTGTTTTGTGCTTGCCTTTGCTGGCCTGTTTTTGGATTCTGTGATGAAATCACATTTATATACCAAAGATTTGCCACTAGAACAGTTATATTAATAATTGTAGCAGAAGCTTAGAGACAATTTCACAGGAATAGTTATAAAAATATTTGCTCAAGTTCAAAAGTAAATTAGTCTTCCAGGATGACTGCATTGAAGGAAATAACATTAATTCAAATGATAAACCTGATGTAGTGTTTAAAATGTGATTGCCCTATTATTAGAATATGTACATAAATACAAACACTTTGACTTTCCTAAAGAAAATATCTCATAGACCTAGAAGAGGCAGAGGGGATACTGTGGTCAAGGAGCTTTGAAGACCTCGATCGAAATCATGTTCTGTCACTAAAACAATTGCTGAATCTCTCAGGGTCTGTTCCTTCATCTATAAAATGAAAGATTTTGTCTAGGTGGTAGTTACAGTTTCTCCCATTCTAAAATTATGTGAAGCTATTTTTCTCAGACTCTTAAGCCACAAATAGTTTCTTCCTTGTTATTTCTGTCATGTAGCTCATATTGGATTTAATCCCTTTTTTTTCATTTATCCCATCAATGTAGATGTTTAAACCATACCCAAAATTATGTATAATACTTTGAAATGATCAAAGTATTAAACTTAGTTGTTTTGTTGTATGTTTTTTCCTACAGGTTGGATTGATGGATCATGTTGAATCGTCTTCTGGCCCTGAATACAAAAAACCGGTAGCTTCAAAAGCCATCAGCATTTCTGAAGAAGGTGTGTAGGGTGCTCTGTGACTGAAGCCTGGCTTTAAAAATAAGCATGGCTTCTTGGAATACGAGTACTAGAAATAGTTTTCATATGTGAGCTGAAGCCAATCAGCCCCCTAAGTTTTAGAGTAGGATTATTACTGTTATTATTTTTCTGGTTAGTAGGATGTAGAGGGAAACTGGGGGGGTTAAACCCAGGACTTCCTGCATGCTAAGCACGCGTTCTACCACTGAGCTGTTCCCCTACTCCCCAGGATTATTTTTGTAATAATGTGATAAGCTTTCATTTCAAGGTCATTTTTTTCTTTTTCTTTTCTTTCTTGATTTTAAACAATATTGAAAAATTATTTATTTGATTGATAACTTCTGGTATATACACTAATTCAAAATATTTTCACTAAGCACCAAGTAGAATAGTTTCCAATCTTTTTACCAAAAACATTTTGTCACAGAAAGACTGCTCCAAACTTAGTTTATTTAAGAATTTTTATTGTGTGTGTGTTTTTGTTTTGTTTGAGAAAGAAGAAAAAGAAATGTTATTGCTTTGCTAGCAAAGGAGAAACACAGGGGACTCCTGTCCCAGAGTCTGCAATTCTCCCATGTTCCCAACTAGCATGAGATGACCAGATTAAACCCTTATAATATGAGTAAAAATACCTGAAAAGCTTTAACCTATATCTCCTGACTGCGGAGTCTATTGACCTCAGGCTGGGTAATCACACGCCATAGGCCCACTTGCCAATTTTTCTCCCCCTAAGAGGCCAGTTCCCTTCCCTTTTATACCAGAAAGGGGCCATGATGTGGCTTGGGTCTTTATTTCTGTGGATTTCACCTGCTGGCTGCACTGCAGAGGATTTCTGAGGTTGGTGCTAAGGTTGCTATTTGTGGTTATCAGCTGAACTGGAATTTGAGGTCTTGCTAAGCAGTGGTGAGGTGTTCAGTGTTTTCATTTAATATTGGAAGAAAAATTAGGGTAATTATGACTTTACATTTTGCATTTTTGTTTTTTTCTATAATAATATGTACGTGCTTTCTCTTTCTCATTCAGCCTGTGAGCAGTGCGGTCTGTTCTGAAAAACCAGGCTTTGGTTTGTGTATTCTCTCTGTTGTTTCTTAATTTTCTTTTTCATTAATTTTTGTTCTTACCTTTATTTTTCTTCCATTTTGGGAGGTTAGTTTGTTCTTTTTTCTTAACTCTGTTATTTCCCAATATGTGCATTTATGGCTGAACATACTCACACGTGGACCTAGATAAGAGTGGTGACATGCATATCATTTGATGTCCATACAACTAGTTCATATCATAGAAAGGGTTTTTAGCTTCTAAATATTAAGTGGGGGATGTGTTTTTGTAATTGATTTCCATTTTCCTTGTATTGTGATTAGATGATATATATGATGGTATGACTACTTAGATACTGTTAAAATTTCCTTTGTGGCCTAGTATACATAGTCATTTTTTCTAAATATTCTACATTTATTTGAAGAGAATAAACATTGTCTGTTGGTTGATATAAGGTAAGTGTATAAATCATTACTCAGGTTTCTAAATTGTATTGTCCACATTTCCAATATTCTTTCATTCTTTAGTCTTATTCTTTTTTTAAAAAAATATTTTTAGTTTTGTAGGTGGACACAGTGCCTTTATTTTATTTATTTTTATGTGGTGCTGACTACAACCGCAGTCCTGATCATTCATTTTTTAGCAAGATACATTTGAAATTGTTCACAATCATTGTGGAATTGTTTATGGCTCTTGCTAAATTTGATAAATTTCAGCCAGATTTGGTGGTGTACAACTGTAATTCCAGCAACTTGGCAGGCTGAGGCAGGAAGATTGCAAGTTCAAGACCAGGATAGGCAACACAGAGAGATCGTATCTCAGAAATAAAAGGGAGCAGGGCTATGGCTTAGTAGTAGAGCACCCCTGGGTTCAAGCCAGGTAACACACACACACACACACACACACTCACACACACACACACACACACACAACTTTGCTTTATATATTTGAGGCTTAAGATGAATATAGTTCAGGAATGTTATATGTTTTGTTGAATTTTGTTTATTTTATCATTAATGATCCTCTTTGTATAGTTAATTTTGTCTAATTCCTTAGCATACTTGTGTTCTTTTTCTGGTACATCTTTTTTGATACTTTCAAAAAATTCTATTATGAAAAATTTCTAGCATATTTCAATAGAAGATAGAATAGTATGATTAACTTTTATGTGCCCAATACTAAGCTTTTTAATGTTACCAACTCACAACTAATTGATTCTTACCCAACTCTCACTCATTCTTCCCACCTTTTCCTGGATTGTTTTGAAGCAAAATCTAGACAGCACATTATTTTATCCATAAATATTTTAGATGTATCTCTCAAAGATGAAGTTCCCTTTTTAGGCATAGGCATGATAATGTTTTATTCCTTCAGAACAACATTTTCACATTAAGATGAACCTAATCAAGGTTCAAATGTTGCCAATTGTTTTATTTTTAAAGCTAGTTTCTTTGTTCTAGTGGGATTCCAAGTAGGGCTGATAGCTTCTATGCAAGTCTCTTTTCCCTTCTAGGTTCCCATTCTCTGTTGTTTTTTCCCCTTTGCAGTGTATTCATTGAAGAACTGAGGATATAGGTCTTGAAGTATTTGTCAGAATCTGGATTTTGCTAATTGAGCCTGTGTGGTATCATCTAATAATATGTTCCTTGCTCCATTGAATGTCCTATAAATTGGACATCCCCTTACTTTTAAGCATGTAATTATGTTGTAGTTGTGTCCAGCATATAACTATATTTTATTCCTTTAAGTAATTAGACAATCTTGTTTCTTTAATTGGCAAGTATAATCAGTGTTCATTTATTGTATTTTTTGCCATATTTGTGCTTACTTCTAAAATCTTTGGTGCTTCCTGTTTAGCATGCCCCCACACCCTGCAGTCTTACATCTGTTGTCTAGGCTGTACTCAAACTCCTGAGCTCAAATGATCCTTCCACCTCAGTCTTACAAGGAGCTGGGACTATAGGCATGCACCACTGTGCTGGGTTAAAGAGCCTTTTTCCTTTATTGTTTTCTTTCCTTTCTTGCCTTTTATTGGATTAAGTTATCACATTCTTCTCCCTCCACTGGTTCAGAAATTATACTTTTGATTTCTATTCTTTTAGTAATTGTTTCATACTGAGTTAAAAATTAAGGTAAATGTATCTACTTCCCAAGCAATATAAGGACTTATGAGTCTTTAACATGATTTGTTCCCTTGATATACTCTGATACTGTTTTTTAAATAACTTAAATCTGTACTGGTTTTAAACCCTCTCATTTGGTCCCGCTTGTCTATTTAGTCAGTGCTTCTTTAGGAGTTTTTGAACATGTCAGTTTTTTTGCCCACAAGTACTCATTTAAAACTTTTCTTAATTTAAATAATGTAAATATGTAAAAATAAGATACAAGCTTTATGAAATAACATGCCAGATGCACTTGGGCATTTTCTATTCTCTGCTTTGCCCGAAGCTGCTTCTTGCATCTACTTTAAGAATTCCATTTTGGGCTGGGGATGTGGCTCAAGCGGTAGCGCGCTCGCCTGGCATGCGTGCGGCCCGGGTTCGATCCTCAGCACCACATACCAACAAAGATGTTGTGTCCGCCGAGAACTAAAAAATAAATATTAAAAATTCTCTCTCTCTCTCTCTCTCTCTCTCTCTCTCTCTCTCTCTCTCCCCTCTCTCACTCTCTCTTTAAAAAAAAAAAAAAGAATTCCATTTCCTTCTTCTTTCCTTTGTTATTTCATCTATAGTCTGTGAGTGGTAAATTCTCAATCTTTGAAAATAACTTTAATTTTATTGTAAATTTTTTGTGGTAACTTATAACTGAGTTATAAAATTCTGGGATTCTAACTTTAGAATTTCCCTTAGCATTTGTTTGTTTGTTTGTTTGTTTCGTGTGTGTGCTTTAATTTTTTTAATTTGTTTTAATTAGTTATACATGACAGTAGAATGCAGTTTGACACATTATATGTAATGGAATATAATTTCTCATTCTTCTGGTGGTTCGTGATGTACAGTCCCACCAGTTGTACAGTTACATATGCATACAGGATGATAATGTCTGATTCATTCTCCTATCTTTCCTAACCCTAACCCTCTCCCCTCCCTTCACTCCCCTCTACTCTAAATAGTTACTCTAAAGTAACTATTCTTCCCTAGGTTCCCCAACATTGTGAATTAGTATGGGGAGGCTGCCAGCACCTTGCCAGGGAGAGGGTATAAGCCACTGGAGAAAATAAGTCAGAATCAGTGAAGAACAAAAGACACAGAGTCAAAGAGAGTTTTGAAGCAGAGCACCTGATAGATCCAACCCATACAGGAGCTGGAGCTGGACAATTAGAAAATGTCTCCCGTGGTTTATTTAAGGGGGTACATCAAAGGCATGGATAAGGTTTCAGGGGTGGAGTCTTGCTTCCTGATGTCTTAGAGTCAGCAGGTTGATTGGCATCTTGGCAGGTCACACCCATCTCTGAGAGGCTGTGTGGCTGCAGCAGGTCATCCCATCTCTGGTGCTGTGTGGGACCAGACAGAGCTGAATAGAAATTCACATATATTTGGGCAATCTTATCCTGTGGGATTGCCAGGGGAAGTTCCCAAATACCAGGTGTTCCTATGAGAGGCTACAATACTGGTGTAGTCCACACATAACCCATGGATGGCTCTGGAAAAATTAGCATCCATATATCAGAGATATTTGGTTTCTGTTTTTTGGAGACTGGTTTATTTCGCTTAGGATGATATTCTCCAGCTCCATCCATTTACCGACAAATGCCATAATTTCATTCTTCTTTAAGGCTGAGGAGTATTCCATGTGTGTGTATCACATTTATTTAATCCATTAATCTGTAGATGATGTACGTATTCTATTTTTCTATGCTTTCTTAAATGTAATTATTCTTCATATGAGATGCCCTAAAGGGCGTCTAGGTTGCTTCCACAGTTTAGCTATTGTGAATTGAGCTGGCACTGTAATATGCTTATTTTAAGTCCTTTTGGTATTATCGTATTATATACTGACATTCCTAATGGCTGAATTTACACTACCTATGTGCTGTCATTCTACCTGCTGTTCATTTATCTCTGATCACTTTAAAAAAATTCTATTTATTTTGCTTTTTTGATACAGCATGTCTAGATGTGTATTTCATTTTATTTATCTTCAATTTTCATCCATTATCTTTGGGGTATTGCTTCCACCCCATTATTTTACTCTGTCTTCTAAAAACACTATTAGAATAATGGAGACCAACAGAGAATAGAAAGGCAATAGAGAGGGAGAGAGAAGGGGAGGGCTTGAGGGAATACTGGGGAATGTAATCTATCAAATTATGATATGTCCATGTACTAATGTGCTGCAGTAAATCCCTCTTATTTATATATTATAATATACTAATCAAAATAATAGTAGAAAGGAGATTAGTAAAGTAGAGCAGGCAGGAAGTAGGGAGGAAAAGAGAAGGGATTAGGTTAAAAAATTGACCAAATTATGTTATGCACATGTATGGTTATGACAAAGTGAATCCCACTATTATGCATAATTATAATATACCAATAAACAAATACAAGTATGTTGGACCTTCTCATTCTCTTCCTATTTTTTAAAGCACTCTCATGATTTCTGCCTCTTCATCTCATGGTGATTTCCTCAGATTTGTCTTCTAGTTTGCTAATTCTCTCCTCTGCTGTGTCATCATTGCTTTTTCACCTATTCATTATGATTTTAATTCTTGTCGCTTCATTTTTAATATCTATAATTTCTATTTTTTTAATCTATCTTTTCCTTTATTGTGGCTTCTGTGCTTTCTTAAATATAATTATTCTTCATATGAGAAAATTCTCATTTTAGATTTCATATTAAATTAGTTCATTATACTGTAGAAAGTGATCTGAATAATACATTGCAAATGTCCAGTATATTTGTGTTGTCCTTTGAAAGTGTTATTAATTGTTATATTTTTTCCATGTGTTTGTTTCCTCCTACCATTTTAATTGTAACACGTATTCTGCATTAGTGAATTTCCTGACTCGTATGGATGAGGAAGATAGAAGTGACAAAGATGAGACTTCAGAAGCTGCATTTTCAGTAATGGAAAATCATTCTAGTCCAAAAACTTCTGTGTTCCTTTCTGCTGATTCAGCTGTCAGTCTTTCCATTGACCAGAACACTCCTTCACCTGGTAATGTTCTTCACTTTTTTCATTTATACACACTTTTATTTTCCATTATGTTTCTGAACTGTATACTGGGAATATAGTCATGAAGGATTTGTGAAGGCATTTTGTAATACTTATTTTCGGGAGAAGGAAGTTAAAATTTGTGCTACTCACATGAAGAACTTCATAAGATATGCTTCAACTGTGTATTATACTTCTGTGAATGTATTCATGCTAAATATATAACAACTGGAATTACTGTTGTTTTTACAAAAGTCGAGAAATTCAAACTGCCAGTTGTCAGAACTTGAGTTTTAACTGAGAACAAAATAGTGTTTGTCATTTCTAGGGCCTCTTATCATGTGCCAGACACTGCTGTTTTGTATGCTTGGATGCTGAGTTAAGCCTATGAAGTAGATTTTATATTCTCCCCATTTTATAGTTTAGGATATTGAGGCTTAGAAAGATTTAGTGCCACTTTTTGCTCCATTTCATTTGGAGGTTGTAATTAAATTAAAAGTGTTATTTTTTAGAACAAACAAATATATTTTGTCCTATAAATAATAAGACATAGTATTTACCATACAACCCACATAAAGATGGAAAAATTAAATATTTTTCTCTATTAAAGTAAAGAATTTAGATGTCCTAATGGGTATTTCCTCCAAAGTTGTCATCTGGCATTATTGATCAAAAAATAGTATAGATTTCCTCTTTTGCAGCTAGCTAACTTCCATTTCTTAGCACATTCTTCTGAGTATTTTTACTAACAAATGTTTTTGGTAACAGCCATTAGATATTCAGAGGTACTTTGTGGTAAGTGAAGTAAGTTATCAGTCTGAGTGTCTCCATTTGGAATAAAAAATAAAGAATTATAATTACCAAGGAATAAAGTTGATTTTGTTTAGTAAATCACCAGTAAAGTCAATCAATCACTTTGGGAATAATTACAAAAATGGTTTGAAAATGAAGTAAGGATAGAATACCCATATGTAGTTACTTTTAAAGGTATTCATTTGAATATAATACTTTTTTGCTCTTGTATACTTTTTTTCTTTCACAATAACTGATTTTTCTTAACTCATTGAGGATGATCTTTGTCAGGGATCAGCAGCCCTCAGTTAAACTTGAGGCTGTTCAGTTAAGTTGTGCTCATTACCAAAGTGCTTTGGAGTCCTGCAAAGGCGCATTCTCTTTTTGCAGCAATGATTACAAGAACTAAACTCTCCCCGCTTGGCAAGGTTTGTCAAGTTTGTAGCTGCTGTGGCTGAGAGCTTGTGGTCACTGGCTACTAACGGAAGGAAGAGCAACTTGTTACTTATGTTTGTTAACTAAAACTTCAGCCTTTAACATGAGAGGTTACCGTCTTGACTAAGATCTCACTTTCCTCATCCAGCCAGTTGATGGAGGGAATCCTTCAAGCTTTCTTCATGAGTAGATCTGCAGGGGCCACTCAAACACCTATAGAAAGTATCTCCTGGCTAGGTGTGATGGTGCCTATCTGTAATCCCAGTGACTCCGGAGGCCAAGGCGAGAGATCGCAAGGTTTGAGGTCAACCTCAGTGAGACCCTGTGTCAAAGGAAAAAATAAAAAAGGAAGGGGATGAGGCTCAGTGGTAGAGTGCCCTTGGCTTCAGTCCCCAGTACAGCGGGGGTGGGGGGGGATGTTTCTTTAATGGAACTTTTTCTTTTACATTTATAGGAAGTATTTCCCTCTTAGCTAAATTTAATGAATTACTATTAAGAACTCACAAGTGCCCAGACCCTGAAAACAAAGATAAAAGAATTGGAGATTAATAAATAGAACAATATGTGCTCAAGAAAGCAAAATTCTTTCATATTAAAATTACGATTCATGGGCTAGGGCTATAACTCAGTGGCAGGGTGCTTGCCTAGCGTGTGTGAGGCACTGGGCTCATTCCTTAGCACCGAATAAAAATAAATAAAGGCATCTGTCCATCTACAGCTACCCCCAAAACAAACAAACAAACAAACAAACATGACTGAGGAGGCTAAGGCAGGAAGATTACAAGTTCAAGACCAGCCTGGACAATTTAGGAAGACCATGTCTCAAAAATAAAAAAGGGCTGGAAATAAAGCTCAGTGGTAGAGTACCCTTGGGTTCAGGCCCTAGTACCCCACCATACACACATAAAAAAAACAACAAACACACAAACAAAAAAACCCATGTGGATGCCTAAGTTTGAGGAGAAGTTTAGTTACTCTTAGTCTAATAAAATCTTTTGGGGTGTGTGGGGGTGGGAGGGGGCAGGTAACCGAGGATTTAACCCAGAGGCACTTAACCACGAAGCCACATCCCTATCCCTTTTTTATATTTTATTTAGAGACAGGGTCTCACTGAGTAGTTTAGGCCTTGGCACATTTCCTAGGCTGGCTTTGAACTCTCGATCTTGCCTCAGCCTCATGAGTCACTGGGATTACAGGTGTGTGCCATTGCGAAGAGCTCTAAAAAATCTTAACAAGGAAACTTTTTTGAGATGAGATGTCAGAACATTTTCCCTAATTAATTTAATTATATTTCAGATTAAAATTGTAGAAGGTTTAAATAGATTAAATGTTTTGCATTAGAGATACTTAGTTTATATTGGGCAAGGCTTAAAAATCATTCTTTGGATCCTATTCTTCCAAGTAAATATCTTCTTGGGTTTAAATTAGATATTTTCCAATATGTGTAACTTTTATTAATGTTTCCTTTTTTTTTTAGGTGTGAATAACCGTGATGAATTATTTGAAAGGTAAATATTTTAAGAAGTAGTTCTTTATTTTACTTAAAATTTGAGTATGAGTATGTGTCCTGAAAATTTTGTTGTCCTTTGAATGTGAACTTATATATTATACATCTTTTTGAAGTTTAATGAAATATAATAAATTTCTATTGGGAATGGAATGTTCTGAGAAATGTTGTTACATCCCTTGCTGTTTCAACACAGGTAATTACAATACAATAGGCTACATTTGCTACATTTTCTTTTACTCAGTATGTATTAAATTTGAACAGACAAGACCCATAGAGGTTTTCTCCTGGGCCTAAAATTGTTGTTTTTTTTTTAAGAGTACCTACAAAGTCATCAGTTGTTGATGAGTTGGTGTTTGTGGGAGACACCAGAATTATAGAAATAGAAGGAAAAGTAGACGTATCATTTTGTGTCTATTTATGCTCTTGAATGGCATAGTTTTTTGTATTTGTTTTTTCCTAAGTAATTAATTTGTAAATGCTTAAATGTTTCTGTTTGTCAAATTTCATTTGCAATTGAAGTATTTCAGTAGATCCACTCCAGATGGCTGGATTGACTGACATTGCAGACATTATCAATGATCTTATAACTAGAGGCGGAGTTTCCAGTAAAGAGCTTGGTTTAACAGAACAACAAGCAAGGAGTATCTCCAGGTAATCTGGACTCACTAAGAATCCTTTTTGTGGTTGTTTTGGTGCTACGAATGGACCACTGGGTTCTGGCATGCTAAGCTGGCATTTAGCCACTAAAGAATTACTTTTTAACCCATTCAAAATGTTTCTGATTTAGGAATGTAAATAGTTTGCCACATTTCAATGTAATTTTTATTAAACAAATTTGAAGTTTAGGAGTTTTTCTACCTAAATAATTTTTGTGATGTATGCCATTCCTCCATGTTCCCCAAAGTGTACTTTGTACTTAACTAACAGAGCACATCTATATTCTGGAGAGTTTTTCTCAGGTCTAATCACTGTAAGTACAACATAGAATGAATGCTGTTTCTTATTAAAAGTAATTAATGGTTTACTTCATGGCATTTTATCCAAAATACTAACCCTTAGGTTACTTTTGCAGTAGCCTTTCTATAGAACATTAGGTTAAAATACTTTTCCATGCAACCCTTCCTGGATGGAATAAAAGCTCGCTCACCTTTATTTTCCTTTATACCCCTTAGTTGCTTCATAGAAAACAGTCAACCTTATCTGTTTTAGATATAATTCCACTTATTACTTCAGTGAAAGTACAGTGTGTTATCATCAAACTTACAAGACTATTAAAAGAAAACAACACAATAAATTAAAAAATAAGAAAGAAGGGCTGGGGTTGTGGCTCAGTGGTAGAGTGCTCACCTAGCATGTGTCAGGCCCTGGGTTCCATTCTCAGCACCACATAAAGATGAATAAATAAAGGTATTCTGTCCATCTATAACTTAAAATTATTTAGAAAAAAAGATTATTTTTGTTAAATAATTTATCTACTATATTATTACCTTATATCAAGACCATGTTAGACCCTAACTTCCTAAACTAATGGATTTAGTTAACTCTAATAGTTCTTTGTTTTTTCTAAAATTATATAAAAATAATATTTGGTTTCTACTCTTGAAAGGATATAAATGTAGGATCGAGTTCTGTCAGTGTGCTATGGGAGCTCAGGGAAAAAAGGTCAGTCAGAAAGCAGAGTCACCAGTTTCGGAATTTGATTCGTATCTCAGGATTAATAGAAATTGTATTCTGCTAATGACTGGTAACTGTAAGACGGGATATTACAGACAGAAATATGCAAAGATATGGTCAACAAAGGGCAAGGAGTCAGATGTATGTAGCTAAGTTCATTGGAAGGGAGTGGGACTAGCTTGTGTGGGGACAGAAGCACTAAGCTGGCTTGACTATTGGCAGCAGAGCTCAGCAGCAGGTTATCATCAGCTAGACCTGGGAGCCAGATGAATGACTTACTTCCAGAGGCCAGAGATGAGGTGAATCAAAATGGAGAGTGTAGGTCACAGGGTAGATAAACACTGGAGGCTGTCAGGAGGTAAGGATGATAGGTTTTCTTACATGACTGATGATAATTTCTTTAGCAAATTGGAAAATGTAGTTTTAGATGTAAAGTTCCAGGATAACATTCATTTGCTAATATCAACTGTAAGCCCTCTGACGGATGCCAAGGTGGGATTTAGATAAGGAAGAGCTTTGTTTGGAAAATGCCTGTGAAGGAAAAGAAAAGGGAGCCATGAAATGTGGGGACCAGCTATCAGACTGCAGTGCAGATGTAGATCTGCTCTGAAATTGAGGGTTCCCAAGATCACTCTTAGGGTCAGCATTTTGTTAGGAGAGCTCACAGTGTTTAGTCATATTTGTGGCCACAAATATGAAATATAAAATATGAATTTTCAACAAGAAGGTTGAAAGCAAAGTCAGCAAAGGGAAAAGGTACATTAGATAAATTCCAGGGAAAACCAGGAAAAAATTCCACAGGCTTCCCAGAATCCTCTCCCAGTGGAGTCACAAAGGACATAACATAATTCCTCAAGCAACAGGTTGTGACAACACATGTGAGATGTTGTCTACTAGCAATTGATTAGACTCAGTGCCTAGGATTTTATTGGGAATCCTTCCTGGCACATCCCAAGAGCCAAACTCGTTAAGCAAGTGTTCAGAATAAACCACATTGTCTGTATCTGTGACCCAGCTTCCATCTAGTATAGTGTCTTTTTCACACACTACCATCTATCCCCTGTTTTCTCAGACTACCCAAAGTACAACTTATGTTAGTTCAGATCCTCCAAGAAGCAGAAGCCAAGATGGGATTGATGTGTAAGAGATTTGTTTTGGGAGATGTTTGTGAGGAAAGAAGGAAAAGAGAATTAGGGAGATAGGGTTTTAGAATGCCAGCGCCATTTTAAGAATATTTCAGCTAGATCATGGCCTCAAGCCATGTCACCCATGGAGTCACCCGTATTTCAGAAATGAACCAGCCAGTATATTCCTGCCATACTTAGTCATTAACTCAGCCAGATTGTGAGACGTGTGGCATGGACCTGAAGATGGGAGTAGATCCAGAAAAGCAGCAGCTTGGAACTTACCTGTGTGTGTAGGTTTTAGAAGTGGTTGACTTGCCAGAGTTCATTCTACTGTCATGTATAACTAAAAAGAACAAATGAAAAAAATTAGAAAGTACAAAAAAAAAGAAGTGGTTGAGATGGTCCAGGAACTGAATGGTAGATAAGGAAGTCCAAAACAGAACCTTTAAGGCATCAATATTGAAGTGGTGAGCAGAGATGACAGGAGGCTATGTAGTGTTTTGAGTAAGAAAAGATCCAGGTAAGACAGTTTAAAGAGGGAAAAGCTGTTTAAATATAACATTTAAAGCAAGTGTTTCAGAGAATTGTTGGTGAACTTTCTGAGACCATTTTCTCTGGAGTTGTGGGAATGAGACTGGAACAAGTTGATTAGAGACCATAAGTGTACATTACTTTCAAGACAGGGCAATGTCTTTTCAAACGAATACTACTATTAAGTTGTGGTAGTTCTTACCTACACAACAAATTTAAAAGCCAATGATGCCTTGCTCATTAAATTTCACAGGATTCAGCATTCTTCTGGCAGATGTCCACAAAGAACTGAGAAGGAGAGAAGAGAGATTCGAGCCTGGATGAAAAGAAAACGAAAAGAAAGAATGGCAGAGTACTTAAATCAGCTGGCAGAAAAGAGAGGGCAAGAACATGATCCCTTCTGTGCCAGAAGCAATCCAGTAAGTCTGTAGTATCAAGGGTAATGGAATTATTATACAACGTCTAGATTTTTTTCTGGCAAATATTTTAAAAAATTAGCATAGTTTAGATTCTTTTTTTATTGGGCGGATGAAAAGTCAACATTTTACTTATGCCAGGAAAAGTTGAGAAATTACATTAGCAAAGTATAGCAGGATATTGTGCAAACTATATTCTGTTGATCTATATTAAATATTCTTTTTCCCTCAAGTTAATTATGACTTTAATATTTTAAACAAATGAGGTTGAGTGATTGTGTATCTTTTGCATTGAGAGTGAGTAGCAGTTAAATAATGGATTATATGTGTGTTAAAGCCATTTTTAAACTTGTTTTCTGCAAAGAATAAAATTATGATCTAATCATGTACCAGCAGAGCAGTCATCTGTGTGTGTGTGTGTTTTAAATGCCTTTAAACTGTTAGCATTTATTTACTGAGCCCTGAAATACGGGCATCCCCATGTTCAGGTCAGGAATAGTTTTTCTTTAGAAGGTAAAACAAAGTAGTGTTTGATCCCAGAAGCTTGGGAGGCTGAAACAGGAGAATCACAAGTTCAAAACAATTTAGAGCAACCCTAAGCAACTCAGTGAGACGCTGTCTCTAAATAAAATATTAAAAAGGGCTGGGGATGTGGCTCAGTGGTTAAATGCCATTGGGTTCAATTCCTGCTACCAAAAAAAAAAGTAGTGTTTGATAACCACATTACTGTGAAAATCACATTTAGATTATAGTTAGATTACAGTTTATCCCTTTGCAATTTGAAATAAAACATGATAGCACTTCATTTTTAAAGCATTATTAACAAATGATGTAAGTTTATTTTCCAGATAAGGTTGCCCCATTTAAACTCCATATGATGTAAAAGTAGGTGAACTATTATTTAAAGAATGTATTTTACTTACCTGTCTTATTTTTCTCTTCTTTTTCCTCTTCCTCTTATTCTTATTCCATGCTGGGGATCAAACCTTGGACCTTGCACATGTTAAAGCAAGCATTCTCCCACTGAGCTCCATCCTAGTCTTACAATAATAATTCTTCATGTTCTGGAATATATATATATATATTTGACATTTGTCTCAGTTTGCCTTCTGACATATAATTTTGAAAAATTTATAAATTATAGCAAACTCATTACAGTAGGCTTTTGGTAAATATTTGACAGTATTAAAATGATTTTAAATGAGTGTCTCTTTCTGCTTTTTCAACCAAGCTATTGGTGAAATTAATCACCAGACTAAAGATGAAGTTAAAGTGTCTATATCCCTAAAATGTTCTTTTCTTCCACCGTAATTGCAGCTGTAGGATGTCCTCTGTCAAAAAAATATAACTAGTAAAATACATTTTGCATTCCATTTAATTATATGATGTTTTAATTTAACATTTTTATGTTTTGCTTTAGGATAGAAAGTTTTATCAAATATGGCCTCATTTTGTACTATTTTCTAAATAGTAGAATTATGTCTAATGGTTTTTTTGGACTGAAGAATAATGAATTAACTGAATATTTCTTATGCAGTTTTACATGACTTCAAAGGAAATCAGGCTGAGACAAAAGATGAAGCATGAGAAAGATAGGTAAGCTTGGAAGCTATATCCTGAGCATTTTCTGGTAGATAATTCTTAGGAATTTATTTTCATAATTGTCTTCTTGTCAATAAACAGAAAATTGTGGGAGATATCATTGTAAAGAAAATAATTAGACTCAGTACCCTTTTTAGAAATTTGCTTTCAAATATTATTGGCACCATACAGTTTTTATGACTTTCATTTCTGTTGTGCTGTCTCTCCCAAATCAGATATGTATGTGTATTTGGGAAATACCCTCAAGACCATAACTACAAATATCTTTAATAATATACTCTACTTCCTAATGGTTTTAAGAAATCTGATGATTAGAGGGATTTGAAAAGTTCTAAGAAAAACAAAAGTACTGTGTTCCTTCTGGAAATAAGAACTAAAAGTGACTTTTTAAATAAATGGTGTTTAATTCTTTATCTAAAAGGGTGCTGCTCTCTGACCACTACAGTCGGCGAATCACACAAGCATACAGTCTGATGAATGAACTGTTATCAGAATCAGTACAACTGCCAGTAACTGCACAGAAACCATCTCCTAACAAACCCAGCACTGCTTGGCATTCGGGACAGCAGTGCTGCCCTTCTCCAAGGAGGTAAGACACAATTCACCATATTATTTGGAAAAATAACATTGGACCTAGTTTAAAAAAAAAAAAAAAAGTATCTCTTTTGTGATTCAAGCTCAGTGTATTTGCATCTACCCTGCTTAGAATTATGATGATAGAGTAAAGAACAAAATAGCTTCTTAATTATGAGGTCTTTAAAAATGTATAGAATCACCAAAGGAAAAAGGCAAAAATGGCATTCAGTTTCTAACTAAGCTGTAACAAAGCACTTCAGTATACCTGAAGTGTGACATTTCATATCTGTCCAGTACTGTCTTCTTTTTTTTTTTTAGTTTCTGTTAAGATTTGTCTCTCTAATTTGCCTCCTGATTGCTATCTCCCTGTTTCTCTACCTGTCATCTTCATTCTGGTAGGAGCAGCCAGCTCCCATCAGCTTGCTACACAAGCTTAATCACAGACAGTAGGTTTGGGTATAAGTTGTTAAGCAGAAATTAATTGAAAGTGCTAATGTACCCAAGTGTAAAATTTCTCGTATATGGCTAACAAACATGCAAAGTTGTATCTGTTGGTAATCCATGTGGTGGACATGAATTGGCAGCACTCACCTTTAGTGAGCGGGAGCACGTAAGCCTTAGGCTTTGGGGAGGGACACATGCACCAATAACCTGAGGTACTGATATGTGAGCAGGCAGTGCCATCCCCCTCTGCCCCGCCACCCGCTTTCCTCCCAGGACACAACACACTGTCTCAGGGAACCCAGCCTGCGCCTTCTCCACCACCAGTTGCAAAATCTGCTGAAATGGGCTGTGGATTAAACAAGTTAGGGAAGTGCTACGAGGAATGGCCTGGGAATATTTATTCACCTTTGAAGAGGCCTCAGGTAGAAAACAAGGTGGATGTGGCCTATGAGTACCGCCTCCTGTAGTTCACAACTCTGAATGTTGTGGAGCTCCCGTGGTCCTCAGCAGTGAGGCTGGCCTCCTTGAGGGACCTGCCGGCCCAGCTCCTGGAGCTGTACCAGCAGGGGTTCTCCCTGGCCACCCTGCACCCCTTTGGGCAGCCCATTCACAGGTAGGAAAAGATGCCCCTCCAGCACACATTTAGGGCCAATCTCGGTCAAGAAAACTGACAGATCTCAGAAGACTCATCTTCACAATGAAGGTTACATCTTCAAATTAGATTGCTGTTCCTCCTTAGACCATCTGACAGATAAAATATCATCCCAGAGTTTATTATGAAGGTCCAGGAGGCTGCAAGTCGGGGCCTGGAGTTTGCTGTGTCATTCCTCAGTATCACTCCCCTGTGAACTCAGCAGGCAGCAGCCCTCTTGCACCCACTGCCAATGGCGCAACAGATGCCAGAGTGGTGATAAAGGTATGTGGAAACCATGCATCACTGAGGATGAGAAGCCAGGGGCTGCAGACGTGTGTGTTGCTCCCACAGGGGTAGATGGGAACCCAGAGCCCAGCGCAGGCCACACAGGGGAGCTGCCTTTCACCAAGGAGCCCAGCTTATCCTCTGGAGAGGGTGTAGGATTTTCCCCATAGGGGATGAGCCCAACAGTGGATGGACACACATACAAGGCTCCTCTCTAGGAAAATGGAGATTTTTGCCCTTTCAACAAACTGAAGAGCTATCAGAAGTGCTGGCAATACTATCCCATCAGTATTCTTTCCTGTGGTCTCCAAGAATGGCCAGATAGCGAGGAGTTTGGATGCCAACTGGTTGGAGCACATGAGTGACCACTTCTAGAAAGGAGTCCTGGTGAATTTACTCTTCCACCTTGGAATGGTGGATGATTCCTTATACAGTTTGACTGATGTAGTATTCATCTTTGAAGCTGTTTGTACAGAAGTTAGCAAAAGCAGACAGGGCTATGATGCTATTGTTGTTAAACAATGGATGGCCCTGGAAGGCATGGAGATTCAAATTGACTGCATGACTCTGCTGAACTCATGGGCATCCTAAGGCTGGCAGCTCACCTGTGTGCTACCAACTCACATTGTCAAGTCTACCAGGGAAGGGAGCGTATCCACCAAGCCGACTGTCTTACTTCAGAGACCGTATCTACTTCAGAAAATGAAGAGGGAATTAAAGTTTCAGTGGCAATTCTCCTAAAAAGAAATGCGCAGCTGAGGAAACCCAAAGGTAAACATGGTGTCAGAGACAAATGACTAGCAGAAGAAAATTAGAGTTTAGAAGACCAGTTCTCCAAAGACAGAAATGTGGGAAATTGTGTGCTGGGTAGGCAGCAGGAAGATGGGGTCTCCAAGGAGGTTAACATCCCCATTCAAGAGGTCAGGGAAGAAGAGATGGCCCCTGCCAGCTATGTGGGTGGGGTCTTGTGGAGTATGAGGCTGTGCAGAATGGTCCTGTCAGCCTTGCCAGGGGCCCAGTGGCCCTCAGCACTCCAGTCCTGGAGAGGATGCTGGGAATGGGGGTGCAGAGGAAGTTGTTGGAAAGCCTGCTCCAGCAGAAGAACCTGAGTCTCGGCAGTTTGCAATAAAGCTAGTTGAACTGGCAAACCCTAGGCATCTTGCCAGCACCTGGTTTGCCCTAGTGTTGTGTGCTACCCTTTGGCTTGGCTTGACCTTTCCTTGTGAACTCACCAGCCTCTCCCAGGACCTGTCTCTGACAGTGTTGGTTTCTGCACATCTGATTGGAAGGCAGCCGAATGTCCCTGTGTTATGATGCTGGGTGAGGTTACTTCCTTTAGACCCCAGGGTTAGAGGCCCAGCCCTGGCTCCACCACTCTTCCTCAGGGATGGTCTGGACCATCCAGTGCCTAGGACAATCCCACAGGACCACCAGGGCACATTGGGGTCAAATCCATGGATCCCTGGGTCCAACCAAAGTTGCTGTTCCCTTCCTACCCTGCCAGGACAGCGTCCATCCCCTGCTGCTTTGCACAGCAGCTGCCTGGTGACTTTTAACCACCCCCTGGAGCCCTGTGGGTTCTCTTCTCCAGCTAGACCTTGCTGCTCTGGCAAAGAAAGTGACATCATTGGGAAGGGGAGGTGCTCAGCCTTCTGGCTTTTCTCAAAACAGTCCTAGGTACTGGGAATTCGGAAATAAAGAGGTAATTCTTTGTGTACCTATTCTTGAAGAATGTTTAAAAGTGTTCTGTGTTAGTATTAATATAAAAAAAAATTTTAAGGTTTTGTATTCAAAACATCCTATGAATATATGTTACTTCTGTCAGTTCAGGGCATCCTGCCTGGTTGGGTGCCCTCATTATGTGCTATTTTAATTAGTGTATAATTGGCCCAGTTGTTACCCAGGTATGCTGGGTCTCATGTTTATACTGTTCAGAAAGAATTGTTAAGGCTTTGAGTAGACACATCTGGCAGACCTTGGAGAGAGAATGCCAACTGTCTTGACTGAAACAACAGCCTATCTCTTCTCTTTCTTGTTTAGTTACTTATAGCAATAAATCATCTGGTAGTAAAAAGATACCATATTTGACAAATTTTGTAATTAGAATTATGAACATTAATAAGAGCCTACAGGAAGTGCTACCAACACAGACCCAAACATAATCAGATCATTTGCATTTGTATTTTGGAGTTTATTTAAAATGCCAAATATTCCCCTTGTGTCTTTTCTAGAATAAAGTAGGGGATCAAATACTAAGTAACTGGTAAATATATGGAGAATTTAAAATGGGTAGAGAGAGAACTAAAAATAATCTCTTTGAAACAAATGAACAAGGTTTTGAGGTATGATATAAAACAGATAATTTCTTGAGAGTCATCATGTAATCCTGAGGATCTGGGGTTGTAGCTCAGTGGTAGAGTGCTTGCCTGGCAAGTGTGAGGCATTTGGTTCAATCCTCAGCACCACATAAAAATTAAGGTATTGTGTCCATCTACAACTAATTTTTTTTAATCTTAAAATAACACTGAGGTACAAAAAAAAGGAGTGTCAAGTGCATGTATTAATCTGGGCTATAATTTGGGATTTTTGAGATATTAAAAAATGTCACTTATATGAGATATTAGGGATAATAGTTACTGTGTAATTTCTGTTGTAGAGAGTATCACCATGGACATAATTTTCTGATAAATCAACCTGGAAAAGTCAAATGTATTTCAAAATCAAGTCATACCCATAAAGGGAAAACACTTGAACCATCTCAAGATTCACATTGGCGATGTGGTAAGACTTAAAGCTTTTTTAATTTTGTGTACTTTGGACCTATTTTTCCTTCTTGTTTCCACAGTTGTGTTTTCATCAGCAAAAGCTATAAATCTTAGTAACAAAGAATGCTGATATCAATAGAATGCAAGGGATAGATAAAGACTTAGCTGTACCAGGATTTTGTTCTGTTGCTTTGAAATGGGAAGGCCCTATAAATCTTTTTTAACTAGTGGCCTTTTCATAATATAATTTGAACAGTCAGTGGATTAGAGGTAGTTTATTTGGGAGTCTTTTATTTGTATTTCTGACTAAAGTAGACATTTGTTCAACTCAAGCTTTGGTAGTTATAGAATGGCCATGTCTTAAAAGAGGAATGAAAAGAAGCTCACATTGAAATAGTATATTTTTACCTTTGGGCATCCTTTCCCATATTTGAAGATATACCTGTTATTCATTGCTAACCTTTCCTTAGTTAATTTTACCATATTTGAATTGGGTTTTGATTCCTAAAGTAAAACATATTTATTTGTAGAATGATTACATATTAAAAGGATATACTGATAGTTAACATATAGTACAAATGTATACAACTGAAAATGTTTAATAACTAAATTATATTCCAGGTTCTTTTTATGCTCTAATTACAACCCTGTGACATAGGTACTATTATGTTCCCATTTTAAAGATGAGAAAACCAAGGTAGAGGATGCTTAAATAACAAGCTAGGAAATAGTAGAGCCAGTATTTAATCCCAAACTGGGTCTAGGGTTTATACATCTCTATATGCTGCCTCCTTTCAGAAAATTGAAATACCACAAATTCTAATCCTTTTGATAAAAATCTTTGGTTAACTCCTGCTTTTTTTTGGAGGAGGGTAAGTTGGGATTAAACCGGGAGTGCTTTGCTACTGAGCTACATCCCTACCCCCTTTTTATTTTGAGACAAGTTCTCATTAAGTTGCTGAGGCAGGCCTCAAATTTGTGATCCTCTTGCCTCAGCCTCTTGAGTGAGTTGAATTAAAGGTATGTTCCACTGTGCCTGGTATCTCTTGCTTTTGATTGAATTATAGTAAGAAAACGCACTGTTCGTTTTAAACTAAAATTTCAAGATAGAAAATACTGTCCCTCTGTTTTTTAATTTTATTTCATACCAGGGAACAAATTTAAAAATTCTTTTTCTTTTAATCTTTTATTGATTTTATTTTTTTTAAATATACAACAGCAGTGGAATGCATTACAATTCTTATTACACATATATAAAAGTTCCTATAATGAAGCAGTAATAGTTACGCAATATACCAGAACCTCTGGACACTATGAAGGCAGTTCTAAGAAATCAATTTACAAATATGAGTGGCTGCATAGGAAAATCAGAAAGATCATAAATAACCGAGTGGTATATCTTAAGATTCGTGAAAAAGAACAAGCCAAGACAATAGAAAGAAGGAAATAATTAAGATCAAAGTAAAAATCTGTGAAATTAACAATAAAAACATTCAAAGGATCAATGAAATGGAGAGTTGGTTCTTTGAAGAGATAAACAAGATTGATAAGCCCTTAGCCAAAATAACCCCCCCCAAAAAAAAGAGAGAAGACCCAAATTAATAAAATTAGAAATTAAAAAGTAGAAATCACCAGACATCACAGGTACCCAAAGATCACTAAGGGAATACTTTGAAAATTTATACTCCAATAAATTGAAAGACTTAGAAGATATGAATACATTTCTACACACGAGACCTGCCAAAATTGAATCAAGAGAACACAGAAAATCTAAACCAACCAGTAACTAGCAATGTGATAGAAGCAGTAATAAAAAGCCTTTCAACAAAGAAAAACCCAGGACCAGATATATTCTCAGCTGAATTCTACCAGACAATTAAATAAAAACTAACATCAAGGGCTGGGGTTATGGCTCAATGGTAGAGCGCTCACCTAGCATGTGCGAGCGAAGCCCTGGGTTTGATCCTCAGCACCACATAAAAATAAATAAATAAAATGAAGGTGTTGTGTCCAGCTACAACTAAAAAATAAATATTTAAAAAAAAACTAACATCAAGATGATGAAAAGACTTCCCATATTCATGGATAGGCAGTGCTTCTCAAATTATTCCATGAAATAGAAAGGGATGGAACAGTTCCAAATTCATTATATGAAGCCAGTGTCAAACTCATACTTAAACCAATAAGAACACATCAAGGAAAGGAAACTATAAACTGGTATCCCTGATGAACATAGATGCAAAAATCTTTTTAAAAAATATTTGTTTAGTTGTTGATGGACCTTTATTTTATTCATTTATTTATATATGGTGCTGAGAATTGAACCCAGTGCCTCACACATTTGAGGCAAGCACTCTACCACTGAGCCAGAGCCACAGCCCCTAGATGCATAAATCTTAATAAAATGTTAGCAAATTGTATTCAACATTGCCAATTTGGTTCCTTTCCAGGGATGTGTTAGGTCGGTGGCAGCGACTTGGTGGCCACTTAGTGGCAACTTAGAACAAAGCAGCCCTCACCGCCCGGGAGTGATTTAAAAGGGCTGCTGAACAGGCTTTATTGAGATATCACTCCCGGGCGGAACTCGATCAGACCCACAGAGGGGACAGGAGAAGGGTCTGAGGAGAAACAGCATGGAAGCTCGACCAGACTGGACTTTTATGGGGCTTACAGCAGAAAGGGAAGGGCTTGGGACAGGAAAAGGTGTTTCTAGGGTCCCTTGCCCCCTTGGAGTTGGTCAGGGGAGTTGACTGAACTCCAGGATTGGCCAGGGGGCCCTGCTGATTGACAGGAGTTAGTCAGGAGATCTGGCTGATTGTTCTTTTCCGGTGAGGGCTGCTTTGTTCTAAGTTGCCACTAACTCGCCACCAAGTCACTGCCACCGACCTAATAGTAAGCATGGTTTAACATACACAAATCAATAAATGTAATTCATCACAAAATAGAATTAAGGACAAAAAATCACTTAGTCATCTCAGTAGATGCAGAGGAAGCTTTTGACAAAATTCAGCATGCATTCACGATAAAAACACTAACTAAAGTGGAGATAGAAGGAATCTACTTCAATATCACCAAGGCTATATATAACAAGTCGAAAGCCAACATCAGAGTGAATGGAGAAAAACTAAAAGCATTTCCTTTTAAATCCAGAACAAGATAAGGATGTGTGGTTTTCTACTCCCACCACTCTTATTTAATATAGTAGTAGAAGTTCTAGCCAGAGCAGTAGGCAAGAGAAGGAAATAAGGGATAAAAATAGGAAAGGAAGAAGTCAAATTATCACTGTTTGTGCATGATATGATTGTGTATTTAGAAGCTCAAAAAAGCCCCATTAGTAGACTATTAGAGTTAATAAACAAATTTAGTAAAGTAGCAGATTAGAAAATCAGCGTATAGAAATCAATAGCTTTCCCCCATCATTATGTACAACTATAAGACTCCAATAAAAAATGTGAAAAGACTCAAAAATCATTAGATTTTCATTATACCGATAATTAATCTGCTGAGAAAGAAATCAGGAAAATAATACCATTCGAAAAAGAAAAAAATACTGAAGAATAAATCTCCTTTCACAAGGAGGTGAAAGGTCTGGGCAATAAAAACTATAGAAACATTGAAGAGTGAAAATGAGGAAGACAAAAAATGATGAAAAGACCTCCCATATTCATGGGTAGGCAGAATTAACATTGTTAAAATGGCTATACTACCAAAAACAATGTACAGATTCAGTATAATCCGCATCAAAATACCAATGAGCTTCTTCACACAAAAATCAATCACAAAAATCCTTGAAGAAACATAAGGTCAACATTCCAACATGTAGGCACAGGCAATGACTTTCTCAATAGGATTCCTAAAGGAAATAATACCAAGAGTTAATAAATGGGAAGACATCAAATTAAAAAGCCTCTGCATATCAAAGGAAACAAGAATGTGAAGAGAGAACCCACAGGATGGGAGAAAAATCTTTGCTAGCTATTCTTTTGACACAGGATTAATATCCACAATATGTAAAGAACTCAAAGAAGTTCACACACACACACACACAACACACCAATTAATAAATGAGCAAATGAATGAAACAGACATTTCTTTTTTAAATATTTATTTTATAGTTGTAGTTGGACACAATACATTTATTTTATTTATTTATTTTTATGTGGTGCTGAGGATTGAACCCAGGGCCTTGCATGAGCTAGTCGAGCGCTCAACCACTGAGCCACAACCTTAGTCCTGAAACAGACACTTATTTTTTTTTTTTACATCCTAGCCTTTATTTATCATTATTATTTTTTTATCTGTCATTGATTTTATTTTTTTTAAATACATGACAGCAGTGGAATGTTTTCTATAGTTACTATGATTTTTTAATATCTGAGGGAAGTCTTGGAATACATGGAAATGTGTCTTCCTCTCATATCTGCCCCATGAAAATTCTTCATTATTACCTTGCACTTTTTTTTTTTTTTTTTGATGGTGCTGGGGATCGAACCCAGGGCCTGTGCATGCAAGGCAAGCGCTCTGCCAACTGAGCTATATCCTCAGCTCCCACCCTGCACTCTTGACTGTGTAGTGTGTCCTCAGCCAATTTTTGGTCCACCTGCTCTTGCTGAATATACCAGGTGAGGTGATCTGCTACAAGCTCAGAGATATGTATAGACCCTTCCTGGCCTCAGGCCATCTTCCAAGTATTCCTGACTCCTTTCCTTTTATAATCTATGTTCATTTTCCAGCCACCTGCTATGCTTTTGAACTCACATTCCTTATTTGAAATTCTCCCTTATACTTTCACACTCATAGTGTCTCACTTCTGTGTCTTAAACGCATCCTTACTCTTGTTTAGTTCTTCCAATCTGATATATTCTGTTTAAATTCTGCATTATTATTTCTGAATTGAAGCTAATATTTAACTTGCATGTTTGCTGTGAAGATTAGTGGTAAATGGTAGCTAAAATAGTTATTTTTCTGTCTCTGAATCCTTAATAACATGTTTATGCCCCTCTGGAAGAGGTACAATAAGTCTTTTTTTTTTTTTTCAAAGTACATGCAATACTTTTATTTTAGACATGCAAGAAAAGCTATTTCAGAATCTACTGATTTCAAGCAAGCAGCTGTATACAGATAACAAAAGCAACATCTTGTTACAGCTCAGCACACAGCATCCAAAGCAAACAGGCATGAGACAATGCATATTTATGCAGCATTAAAACCAGATGAATAACATGTTGCAGGGCAGGGGGAGGGATGAAGGGGAAAAAAATGGAAATGAAAGATCAATGTTTCCCAGTGCTTCAAATGTAGTGTATTACAGCAAGCATGGTAAGAATGGAAATAACTGATTTGTTACCTGCCTAATACAAAGTTTCCTGGTAGGTTTTCTTTCAGTGATAAACTAGTTTGAGTATCATTTGAAGTTATTGTGTAATGAAAACTTACTTAACTCAGTCTTTAAATTCTCTAGATTAAAATAATGAATGATTTGGTACTTTTCCTTTTATGATAAAATATGCTACATATTTTATTAAAAACATGTACAATAGTGATCAATGTTAAAAATTTTAGTATTCAGAAATATAAAGCCATAATTAACAAAGCACTACGTATTTAAATGTAGACTTAATATATTAGAAAACTATTAATAGTAAAATATAAACTTTAAGTATTGAACAGTATTGGAATTTCTGAACTATATTAGCTCAGTATTAATACTTGGAAAGGGCTTTCCACTGAGCAATAGTGCAGAAGAGACTTTTCTGACACAGCTTTCTGATAGTTCAATATCATTATATCGCATAAATGTGATTCAATAAATGTGGCACTACAAAATTTCTTAACTGAATATTTTAACTTTGAATATTATATACTAGTACAAATTAATTTTATTTTATTGTATTATTTCCACATACCCTTTTATGTGATACATTAGAACATTTTAACTCAGTCTGCAAGACAATCACACTATAGTTCCCCCCCCCTTCAACAATTGAAGACTGAACAACTAAATATTATGGCACTGCTTATTTTGACAGAGTAATTCAGCCATAGTCTCTTTGGTAAACAATAATGATTGCCATGTTTTCCTCTTATAAGATTAATCACAAATGGTTCATTAATAGTAACATGCATGTGTTGAAGATGAAATATTACTTAAAACATTCACAGATCATACTTTGTCAGAAGAATTTAAATCAGTTGTGAACAGGAATAAATTATATCAAGATCATATATAGAATGAAATAAAACAGGAAAGAGAAATGCAAACAGGAAAAAAATACAATTGTAATGGTACTGGTTCTGAAATGTTCTATTATTTTTACAAGATAGTCAGCAAGCTGAGGATATTTTCTTTCATAAGTATATCAGCTCTCTATTTCCTCTGTGAAATTCTGCATACTCGATGAGTAGTCATTTAGTACACAGGGACATTAAAATATTCATGACGTGGCTCCTGTACTAGATCAGCCTGCTCAATTGCTTTAAGGACATTTTTCTTGGATGTTTCCTGAACTTCCCCTCCCAAAAGAAACTCATCCAAAATAAAATAAGCCTTCTCAAAATTAAAGATGATATCAAGTTCACACAC